TTTTAAATTATAGTACCCTTTCAGGTAGGACTCACTAATGATGCTAAAGCGTAGCTCTAGTGCAGTACAATGAGGCATGTGGTATGTGCATATGAGAGATAGTGAGGAGTTCTGCTATGTTTTTGTTTATTATTTATGGTAACTCTTGGTGTTTATGTAAGGACTCCCAGACAGTCATCACATCATATTGGCTTGATCTACTTAAGGACTAGCATATCTTCATAAAAACCCGTCTTTAAACAATCAAAGAATTGACATTTATGTTGAGTTCTGCTCTCCCTATTAATGGCAATTTTGGATATAATAGAACACAAACTAGCTTTTAATTGCAAGAAACTTATGTCCTTTTATCACAGAAATGAAAAATTCTGAATAAGCAGAAAGCATTCCACTCTTTTTCTGAATATCGGCTCTCTAGCCACATTCTCTTTACCTCACTAACTGGTATAGCCCTCAATTCCCCACAAAAGTAATACTGACAACTGAGAGAAATACACTCCCTAACACCCTGTCTTCTGTTCACACAAGTAAGTATGAAAGAAGGCCACCTGCCATGAGTAACCAATGCACTATCCTTATAGTGACCTCAACTACAATTTTACTTTTACCTGCACAACTAGCTACGCTGAACAGAATACACTTATGCAAAAAGCTATACTATGCAAACAACTATATCCTGATATATACTCTTTCTACTGCGCGATGAATTGGTATAGAGAAAACCAAGCATGTTCTAAAGATTTGTTTTTGTTTGTTAGGGTTTTTTTGGGGGGGGAGAGGGGTTCCCATCCCCTACCCCCAAACTAACTGGATATCAGTTCCTGAGTATGAGGGGAGAACATAAAACTAACTCAAGAGCTACCCACTCCCTACATGGAGCATCACTGACTTCTGGGGCATGACTAGACCCTATGGAGGCTCACTGCAGAATCTTTTAGAATCATTAAAAGAGTGAGTGCTAGCTCCTAGGAGTTAATTGACTCCCCTTTACCTGATCTAAATTTCCGATTTAATTAAATAACTTCCTGTCTAAATACTTTATCTGATAGTCACTGGGGACATTTGAACTGTTCTAGAGAGTCCAATCTTTCTATCAAGACATCTGACAAAGACCTCTTCTCAACACTGAAATGTTGTGAAAAATTCTCAGACACTTGGAAGTC